CAAATAAGCAGTAGCATCCAGTTCTGCCTGGATTTGTCGCTTTTTCAATATTTTGAGGAAAAAAAAATGACCGTTTCACACAGTGCTGCATTATCGGCACTGCTGCTGCTGTTGGTGATGTTGACGAGGCAACACTGACCGGTGGTGCTTTGCACGTTGCAGTCGCGGATGCGCCGAGCTCCAGGAAGTGATTCGATTGAAGAAATGAACAACCGGCCCTCTTCTTGCCCAGGTTTATTACGAACGAATAAGCTTAGTCTTGCCCTGTGTAACTTCAAGTGAGCATATTCTCACCCTCCCCCCGAAGCAACCAGAGGTAACCCGTAATTTCACATCACTGCTGCTGTTATTCGTCTTTGTTACGCGAAAATCTTCATCGTATGCCGTTTTGTACAGTTTTGAATGTGTGTGTGTGTATGTTGCAGGTCGCTACGCCCAGAAAAAATCACGTTTACTTAAATGGGTGAGTGCATCATTTTTCTTATTGCATCTGCTTGAACGTAGCACCAGGATTTCACGACATATAGTTGTCGTCCCCGTCACTGCTTTTTACGGTCGAATGCACAGCGCGAGAGGATTGGGGTGCCATTCCGTTACGCATTGCAGCCAGTAGTTGGTTTAGAGCGAAAATGTGGTCCGTTGTTACACTGCAGCTACTGTAGAATTCAGTTTTTAGTTGTTCATGGAATCGTATATTAAGCCAATTCTGCTGATAATTCGCGCGATTACGCGAGAGAGAGGGAGAAAAGACTGAGGAGTATTTTTCCAGGAATTCCATTGCAACTCAATAATGTAACGAAAAATGATTTTCGATTTTCCTCGATTGATCGACACCCAAACCGGGGCAGACGGTGCTACAGCTAAGGGATGAAAACACAGGCGGCTGCATTGTAAAATGTCTTTTTGCACATGACACTTAAGTCGTAATCCTTCTACTCTACTATTCATATTATTGGCACAGAGAAACTGCTGCTTTATGGCCTTTGAAGTGAAAAAAAGAGCATGTTGAGGGGAAACCTGGATCCATATTTTCCATGCCTATTCGATCCCTCTTCCCACACTTCCCTTGTTTTTCAGCGCTGTTGTTGTAGTTAGTTGCCCAGGTCGAACGTTGCCTTCTTTGAGCCATCACTGTCCTGCTTCTGAAATTCGGTTTGCTTTTTTGCACCGAATTTTACCTTCCTTTTGCATTCCGCTCTTTATTCCCCTTTCGTGTCATCAGGCCCACCACTGACTGTTATTGAATCTTTTTCCGCAGCGAGGATCGAGTAGTTTTGGTCACTTCTCGCCTCCACTCTTCAATCCTCTATCTCTTCCTTCTGATGCTGCATCGGTGGCTGGTGGCTGGCCTTGTTCTGAGAGGATATTTTACCGGGAAAATCCAGTTGTGGTACTGGCAAGAAGTGTATATGATTTATCGGACCGAAACATTTCTTTCTAGTTGGACCTCTGCTTTTTCGCACTTCCCTCCCAGCAAATTCCTATTTATATACTTACCTTAACCCGGTAATTTTTTAAAAAAAAATCCCTGTAGAACAATGACATTTTTTTTTTTTTGCAAATTTACAATTATTTTTTTCTATCTTTTTGTAATTTTAGGCGGAGTACTCAGCTATTTTCGCAGCTTTTTTGGCCAAAAAGAATTGCGAATTTTGATACTGGGACTCGATGGTGCTGGCAAAACGACGATTTTGTACAGACTTCAGGTATGCTGTTCTTCATTGATTGCATACTCAGTTGGCGAAAATAAACTTCGAAAAGGAAATTTTACAGATTTATTGTCATGCGCTAAACTTTTCCCTTTTTTGAAATACAAAGAGGTGTGTTTTTAAAATGTATTCTCTCTGTTTGCTCTGGCTTCTTTTTTTCAG